TATTATCTTATTAAGATTGACTGCCTCGGTGGTGTAGTGGCTAGCATGTACGGCTGCACACCCGGAGGTCCTGGGTTCGAGTCCCGGGTCGGGTCAAGTTTAGTTATTGAGTCTTTCTGTATAGTAAGCCTCAGTAACAGCCCGGAGTTGGGAAGTTGGCGGTGTTTCACCCCTGTGCCTCGGAGAGCACGTTAAGCCGTCAGTGATAGGAATAGAGAGTGCACTTGTGTCTGCGCGTACACTTGAGCACTATAATATCTCTTGCGCAGATGGCTAATCTCAATGAGATTGGCCGCCGTAGCCGGAATCGGCTAGGAGAGAACATCATATAATTTTAAGATTACTCTTAATTAGGGTTTTTTTTCATCTATGTGTATCAATCATACAATCTATACGTTTGTTCTCCCTTTGTACAAAAATGTTTCATATACTTAGTATATGCAGTACATACGGTTATAATATCTAACTTATAGTAACTCCTACCCAAGCTATGAATAATTTTACATTAATATATTAAACATATTATATGATACGAAGTGTGTGTGGATTTTGAACAGTACACGTATATCATAAGCTAACATAAGTTTGTTATTTTTTAGATAATTATTAGAATTTACCTTTTCAATACTATTAAATCAAGGCTTTTCAAATAAATTTAAATACCTTTTAGCTTTTGTATCAGAAAATTAAATAATTTTAAACTGTTTAGTACTAAATTAAACTATCTTTTCGGATTATTTCGCAGATAGATTTAGATTTTTGGTTCCCAAAATTTCGAATGTTTCACAGCAATCATGGTCACGGGAGAGATTAGGGTTTTAGATGTCTCATGCCCGATTTCACCAACGTCACCTAAGTTTAAGGGATCCCCTAAGCATGGTTAGGGGGCTGTTAGAGAACAGTTTCTGTTTCACCGACAGTTAGAGGTCACCTAAATGTTAAAAGGCCCCCTAAATTTAGGTGCTCGAAATATGGGCTTAAAGACGATCGTAAAACGAAATTTAATGTAGGGGCTAGTTTAGGGGACTTTTAAGCTAGGGATTCCATACGTAGGTGGTAGCTTATGGGTTGTTGATGAAATCGGGCATCAGACACTTACAGACAGTGTCTATCCACAATTTTACAAAATGTAAGTACTTTCCAATAATTGTTGATTTTAATTCTGTAAAGTGATTGATGTGTAAGCATTCGAAACGTCGGGAACCAAAACTCAAAATAAAACCGCTAAATAATCCGAAAAGATAGTTTTACTTAAAATGTCAAATATTCGCGTAAATCTAAGAAAATATTACGCACAGATTAAGGAGACCGTATTATGCTTACTACTAGCACAGATTACATAATACTACACACATGGACAGCGCTAATTCGGGCTATTCTTCGGGCTATTCTTGTTTGCTTGTATAGATAATACATGTCGTTGATTTGCTAATAGTTTCTATTAAATATAATTTTTTTACAATGAAGAAAATTACAAATATAATATTAAGCTAATAGTTGAACAGTTTTATTTTATAAATACTAACGTATGGTATATATTGTAAAATTCATCCTGCATTCGAATAAAAAAAAATATCAATGACTTTAACAATTTTTAACCGAGATAAACAATTTATAAAGCATAAACGCCTTCTGTGAATATACACTACAAACTCATCATCTTATTGCTAATATTTCATAAAATTAAATTATAATCAATAAAATTACGCAAATCAGATTTACGAGCGCAGTATTTCGTTTTCCTTCATTTAGAATATATTTTAAAACAATAATTACACCTTTTTTGGGTCAATTTTTTATCTTTTGTTAATTCAACACAACTTTAATAACAAATCGATACCTACATTTAACGTATCTATTGACATTTTCTTTGTTCGTGATGAGACCCCCTGGTACTAAACATTTTACATAGTCATGAGGGTCAAGTATACGTACATAAGAACATAAAAAGTTCAAGATTAATATAAGGAACAAGGTGAATTAATTAGCTGTAATAACTTATAGTGTGTATTAATAGCCATTTTGATTTTAGTATATCGTTGGTTCCAAAGTACACTTAACCAAAAATAAACTTCTCTTAAAAGCTTACTTTCATTTAGGTAACTCTTTTTTCTTTAAGTTTTTTTTTTATTATATTTTTATACCATTTTTATTTATACATTGTTTGTTAAACACTGAGAATCTATTTATAAAATTAAACTAACAAATAATTTTACACCATTCCTGCAGCACATTCGATACCAAATTTGCTATTAAATAAAAACTTAAAAAATAACAGACTTCAAGGCACTAAAATGTAAAAAGTAACTAAACGGGGGTTTTCATTTAGAAATGATACCTAATCAAATATTTTCGAAGTCGGTGTCAGCCGATGCAAAGCAAATCTAATATATATTTCGTTACGTAAAATACATATTTACATATTAGATATTCATATTTTAAAATATTATCGGTTCCTTCCTCCTACTTGGAAGTCATCGAACCTCCTTTTTGGAAGGCGGTTAAAATTCATATGTTAACAAAAAAAGAAATCAAAGGATGCCCACGTCAATGTATTTGCCTATTTATATATAGTATTGTTTGTCAACCACTTTTTTAGTACATAGCTGTTGGCGAGCTTTAGTGTAAAAGAAGACATTTTTTTTATATAGATAGGTAATTAACTTTATTCATATATTTAGAAATTTTCAATAATGATTATGGTATACACATCTACCAAATTAGTTACTTTGCACAGTAATTCAGTATGAACGTTATCCTGGTTATTGTTGGAATTAAAATTTTCCTTTAGAATCTCGTACTATCTTATAGTTAAATAGACTTAGTCGTCCTAGATCAGAATTCCGAACGCAGGACACAGCAGTTACGCCAATTAGCTCTAATTGTATGAATAATGCCAATGGGCCTTTGTTCTACGGAAGCCGCAATATAACAATTTACCATAGCGTTGCAACTCGCCACATTGTTCATTTATGTGCTATCATAGCTGAAATATTAAATATTAGAATATCTAATGATATATTAAGAGAATATGTTATACCTTGCCATATCTAACGGGTATCATATCGTTTTGGATAAACCCAAAATAATTATCGGGATTTTTTTGACCAAATTCTCAGGAATTGCCTCGACTTAAGGAGTTTGCGGCGGTAATTTGATCCTCCACATCTGATGTTTCTTTCGAAGTGACAAAAGGTAGTGTTTAATTCATTATACAAGAGCACGCAAAGGTGCTCTATCATATCGCTACTTTATTAAAATAGCTGACGTTATCGATATTGGTTATATTCCTCGCAACATTGACTAGATACTCAAATTTTTAAGTATATCATACGATTACGTATTTTCTCCATACATATGGAATTTATATATAACGCACTTAATGGTTAACATTAACCATGAAGTGCGTTTTATATAAATTTCAAGATATATCCATCCCATACGGTAAAATAATTACTCATATATAAAATATTCCATATTATTTACAGAAGCCATTTACCCTAAGAAATTTACAAAAAAAATATCATTTTTTTTAAATTATTATTATTCCAATACTGAGACATAAAAAAGGATTCGGGTGAAAGAAAAGTCAATATATTTTCACATACTTTATTTTTTTGTATTAATAGATATTCTCCTAATCACGTAGTATTTATTTTCGCTTACAATTCTTAATTTGGAATGGTATTATTCATATTGTTTAGCTTAAAAATAAATAAAAATAAAATGTGCCTGAATTATACGACGCATGCAAGTTTCAGGCGCGCTTATAAAAAAAAGTTAAGGAACATAACAAAGAGTTAAGATGAATGAGACTCTTTGGTTTGAATATCATCTTTCTAAGTTAAAGTAGTACTCGTAATCTACTATAGATTAAATAGGTTGTGTAATATAACTAAAGACAACATCTTTTGAAGCGATCAATATCAAAAAATAGCGTAAAACTTAACCGCCGCTAATAACGTCTTAACGCACAGACATAATGCAATTTCTTAAAACTACATTAATTTTTCATTGTTATTTGTACATAAAAATAAAAACAATGCCAACAACCATGATAGACTATCATAATAATTAAGTTAAAAATATAATAATGGACACGAAACAATACAAAGACTAACTTACAAAAGTTACTATTTGCAGATATCTACTTGTTGAAAAACGAAGTATTACAAAATCAATCGCGCAATTCATTTTGAATTAAGAATTTGAAACAATATTGCACCAATAAATAATATAATAAATAATAAAACAGAAGAGCAGTAAAACATTAAAGAAAAGTAAGGAAATGGAGACGAGTAATCGAAATAAACAAATCATAATAAATAGCCAAGATTAAAAGAGTTACAGCAAAGATCTAAGGAACAGGAAGTATAATATTCATTGGCGCAACACACAGGTACATATACGTTTTCTTACAAAATGTAGCCGATACGATAAATATAGAGGCCAGATTTTGAGAAAAGCAGATACTTACTATATATGAGTCTAGGGATTTACTCTCTTACTTCATTTCACATTTCTATGCACTTACAATTAGCTGATAAAGTGATTAAAAACAGAAATAATTCAAGAGTTAAATCCTATATACTTAATAATTAATTTACATCATATCTACGCTATCCGTTGTTATACAATACCATTGGCGAACAAAACATATTCATATCACCACAAGCTAATTCTGTTGAGAAAGAGCGAACACGTGTATAGGATTTATACATACTAAGACTACATAAAATAATAATAAGCTCATAAATAATCGGTAAAATCCGTTACATAAATAAATACCATAAACGTTACAATGAGAATTCAACATACATAATTATTATCATTTATCGAGTGAGCGACCGCTCTTACATTTCGAACAATCATTCGTATTAATACAATACACGATCCGGTCGGGTCCCTTAGTTCCATAACACACAGTCCACGAGTAGTCCGGCAAGAATATCAAATCCGTTTCCGTGTCACGAGCACAAGACTAGCAATAAATAAGTTCAATACTGACGGTCGTCATATATGTAGATAGCCTCGCCTGCGGATTCCTTGAGAGGAGGCGGGGGCGGTGGGAAGTCCAGGTCTCCCGGTCGGAAGAGCTTGGAGGCGTTGGGCGCGGGGGAGGCGGGCGCGGGCGAGCTGCCCGGCGAGCCCCCGCCGCGCCGCTTCACCCCGCTGGGGGAAGCTGCTGCACGGAACGAAGATCTTCGTGCGAGCCTGTGGAATGGGGTGTGAAAATATAAATAGAACTAAATAAGACTACTAGTGTGGCGTAATTAAGTATTGATGAGGGATCATCTGTGTGTCTGGACGTCACATGTCCGAATCCAGCAAGAAGAAAATGTCAGAAATCTGTACAGATGTTCGTCCCCATATGGCTTAATTTACTTGCCCCACTTAATGTAATGTACAGTACACTCAATATAGCAAAAAGGAACGATTAATTGTTTTAGGATTTTTTTTTGTACTAACTACATGTTGAATAAAATCTCCAGATATTAATTTAATTCACCTTGAAGCCATTTCTTCTGGCGTTTCTTCAATTTCTAGTACCCAGCTGACGGAGTCATGTTTTTCAACGACGCCCTTGACAGCGGGCAGCGGGGGCGAGTCAGGAGCGGGCGAGGAGGCCGGGGAGGGCGGCGAGTCGGGCAGGGGGGAGCTCGACCGCACAGAGTCTCCTGAGGAAGTACGCGTTCTCATCGGCGTACGTTCTATGTAGCCACCGCCGGCCAGAAGAGATACCACCTGGGGCAAAATATACTATTAAAATATGATGTTAATTAGCAAAATACGTTATTTTAATTTATTTAGTAACCTAAAAGATAATTCAATTGAAGTTCTGTTTTTTTTTCTTAATAATTAGGTACTATTTCTTTAAGTAGTTTAGCAAAAGAAAGTAAATATTTAACTTACTATACTATACCGCAAACGTGAAGGAAAAAGGAAAACAAATTATACTCATAAGACATTAAAATCATTAAAAATGAAAAGTTTAATCCAACGCACCTGCGACTTCTGCCTGAGCTTGTACCTCAGCTCTTCATTGAGGGCCACCATGCGAGTCGCGTGGTCCCTGTCCCGAGCCGCAGTTTCACGTAGCCTGCGGTTATCATCTCTCAGTCTGTCCGCCTCGCGTTGTCGCGCGGCCGCGCGTTCCCTCAGTTCCTCAGCCGCGTGTCGCGCGGCGCAAGCGTCGCGTTCTGCGGCTGCGCGTCTCTCCCGTTCTGCGGCTAGCTCGGACCGCGCGTCGCGTAGTGAAGCCATCTCCGCTTGCTTCAGCTCGATTACCGCTCGCAGAGATCGCACCTAACGTAGTTAAAATACGCTTTAATTAGGGAACTAAGTTCGATTTACGACGTTCAAAATAATATAAATGATTATTTAAAACTTCCTGATTTTAGACAACTTATTGTAGTCGTTTCAGTATTATTGATACGATTTTTTGTTTGTTTAATTTTACATAGCAACGTATTGACAAACTTTTTTCTGATAGATACACAATTTGAGACCAAGAGACTCTTGGGTTCAAATTATGTGCAAGAGACTACCCATTACATACATGGGACACTACAGTGTACAGTAAAATGTCTTTTACCTATATTTATAAAAGTCAAAAGTGATTGACTGATGTATCAACACACACATGCCAAACCCTTAAGGCTAGAAAATTGAAATTTCGCACACGTATTCCTCATATGACGAAGGTATCCACTAAGGAAGGATTTTTCAAAATTCAACCCCCAAGGAGGTGAAATAGGGGATAAAAGTTTGTATGAAACTTTTTATTCCTTGGACATATTTGCATAAAAGTTCGTATGAATTAAGTACAGCAAAAATAATGAGTTACGTATTTCAGCGTTTTCCAAAATTCAACCCCTAAGAGGGTGAAATAGGGGAAGAAATTTTTATGAAACCCACTTTTTAGAGCTGTAGTTTTAGCGCGAGCAAAACTGCGGGTTCTGCTAGTTTACAATAAAGTATTTGGCTATAGTTAAATCAACTTTGATTATTTACCTCCGCGGCTAATTCTGTAGCGTCAGAACTTAATTCCTCTTTTGTATTTAATTGTAACTCGCACTCTTCCACCTCCCAGTACACTGGATCGCAGGCGGCGTCGCACATGTTGTACGGGTCGCGCGACGAGTCGGCCGACGCGTTGCGCAACTTGGCGCTTCGCTCGACTTCAGCCCGCGCGGCTTCGAGCTGCGCGCGCAATGTCCGTTCAATTTCACTGTGTGCGTGCAACCGTGTTCTGCTTTCAGCAACTTCTTGCTTTAGTGTCTCTATCGTCTCCTAGAATAAATGTTAAAATAAAATTTACTAACTAAAATTACGATATTTGTAGGTACTATAATAAAAATTATAATATACAAGAATTACTTGAATGATAGGTTCACTTATTTAGATACTAACGTACCTTTAACCCTTTCACATCACTCGCGAGCGCAGATACTTCTTCAATGTGTGCAGCCTGTAGACGAGCGTTTGCTTCTTCTTTAGACGATACCTCCATTTCTAGCTCTGAGATCTTGCTCAGGCATTCTGCGACTGTAAATAAGCAAATGTTCATATTGTATAGCAACTTTTATGTTACAACTAGTTGTAAATATTTAAAATATTAAATTATGCTAAATAATGCGTTGTTATTTCTTATATTTACTCATGCTATTGCATAAACTGAATTTGTATTAACGTTATAAACACTTGTTAGTTAAGATACGGACAAAGTTCAGAATTACCTAATCGCATACGCATAGGTACATTAAGAAAATACTTTAAATTAAAGATTTATGAGAATAATAATACTCTAAACATAAATTTGTTAAGATTACTTATTGATTTCAATGCTAAAAAAAGAAATCGTTTCATATAATATTTGCATTTACTGGTATCTAGATCCTTTTGTGCCCGTTGCTGACGGTCGCGGTCGGCGCGGGCGGCACTGCTTCTCTCTGCTGCCGCAACGCCGCGCCATCGCTCGGCTTCTTGCCGCCATGATCCGCTATTTAGAGCATCCAACTGGAAAATATCAATATTCATAAAGTCTGCTTGTTTTACTTAAGTAGAAAGTTACAGTTATACTTATGTGATTTATAGTTGGGATTTCATTACATTTAATTGTGTTTACATATTCGTGAAGATATTTTTGCACCATATATTTTATATGATGTACTGAGGAAATTATGAAATTATTGAGTAGTACATTTCTTTTAAATTTATAATAAGCTAGCGACTTACCCGTGCTTTGCACGGTTGAATTCTTAGGTACCTAACAGTAGCCTATATGTTACTCCAGGTCATGGTCTATTAGTTCATAAATTTCTTTCAAATCCATACAGCTGTTTTAGCGTGAAGAAGTAATAAACATACACACATACGTTTGTTGGATTATAAACTTATAGGTATAATTACGCACCCGGAACACAAGGTATTGTACAAGAACACCCAACGCTTCAACACCTTTGGTGGCATGAGCGAGGGCTACTGAGTTTTCACGTGGCTGGACCGGTAGCGGAGCGGCTAGCGGCGCGGGCGGCGAGCGCACCGGCTGCGGCGTCTGCACCCGCTTCCCTCGGGGCCCGACCGCGGCCGTCACACGCGGCGGCTCTGCAACGATAAACAAATTCTATAAATCTATACGTAGTTACCACATTTTTTGGATAGTAACGCTCCTTGTAGCATTATTAATGTTCAATATGATTAATAACAGATTTATCAAAGTAGATATCTTAGAAGTTTAGAAGAAAAGAAAGTTTGCAATTTAAATAAATATTTTTTTAAGGAGTTAGTCTTTTTAAAAAACATATGTATTTAAATTGCAAACTTTCTTTCTTTTTATTTACACAACTATATGAGAAATTCAAAATTAAAATTTTCATATTATTGCATTATAAATTACATATTCCAAATTTATGTGAAGATTTTAAAATTAAGAAGTTCCAGCTGTATGTTTTCGAATTGCACAATTTGTTCTCACGATATGGATGAAACAATAAAGACTGCAGCTCTCAAGTACAATAGGATACAAAACGGCAAACAGATAGACATTTCATAAGATACAATGTAGTAGAGATCCGTCGTTTCTTAGTGTGATGCTATCTTCCTTCAGAAAGAGCTTTGTTTAGCTGAATCTTAATACAAATGTGTTTTATCTAACATCTAGCCCGATTATAATGGACTCGAGGTTAAAACAATGTATTTATACTTTCACAAACTATACTTAATATACATATTACATACACATAATTATAAATAGAAGCCATTCTAATTATCCATTAATGGCGACGACGTTTGTTTGATTGTCTTAATGCAGTAGAAGTTTAGCTATTATTTAAAAATTGTTTATGAGCTTAATGTAACACTTCTAATCGACTTTCAATGTTACTTTTATACAACCACACTTCTAAGGTTCAATGAAAAATGTTTTCAGTTTAAAGCCGTAAAAATCTTAAACTATACGTATTCTATCATAAAAGGATTAAAATAGTAGACTTTGTAGTATCGCGTAACGTCATGAGGAGAAATCGCTAGTACTTTATATTACATTCACGAATATTAATTAACTTACGCACTTTCAATACGATGCTAGCATGTAACAACTGGACTTAAGCACATACCTAATACGTTTCAACAAGGTTCGCTTGTACCTTTAAAAGGGATTTAGAATAATTTCTCGCATACCATTTCTTCGTAAAACAGCATTTGCTTATACTTTCATTATATTTACATATACATTTGGTATTGCAAGTGTTCCTATGACTGTAACGTATTAATTATATAACATTCTTGGCTTTATTAGTCATGCCAATTTAAAGTATCTAATAAATTATTTTTATGATGTATGATGTATATATTTAAACAAATAAGACATACTAGTACTCTATTTCTAAAATAGTATCATTTATTTGTTATCAAAATTAACCATGAAGCGTTTCCCACGCGCTCCATTGAAGATTCCTGTAGAGGTCCACGCGTCATTAAGCACAAGATACAACGACTCCCATTTCCGCTTTTATAATGAATAGACTGAAAAAAATACCATCAAACTTTTTGACTATTCAATAGAGATTGTTGTTTCCGTTACATAAATAAATTAGATTTGACTTTTTATTATTTCATGTAACTATTCATAATATATTATTTTTTGGCATAAATTATATATTACAGAAATATTTCACTCAAAGATAATAATAAATTATTTAGAGATGTCTCAATTGTAATTATATGATGGCTGCCGGCGGGTCAGCACTTGACAACATACGCGTGGGCATGAATTGAGACCCGTGAAACGTCAAATTAACAAACAGACAGGGATGCCATTCCTATAACAGAGACAATACCTATTCATACGGCACCTTAATACAAGTAAATAAAATTCTTAGAAATACCGATAACAGTTCGATGTATAGTTAATTTATACGATATTATTTGAAAAAAAAAAATGTTCTGTTCACTATTATAAAGGTACAATGACATTTTATTTAGCATGTCACAACCCTGTAAAAAATTAAAGGCACTGCGCCTCCGCCGAATGCTATCATGTAGATGAGAGCTGTCATATCATAATGTTGAAAAATGTTATTTTCTAACGACCAAATATATTGAATCTACATATATTAATATTTATTAAGACTTGAGATGACAAAATCTACTTTATTTCACTAAATAGTATAAGGCATATTCTGATTAGATTCAGTTGCAAATGTATAACTTAGGGAATTAATATTTATTTAAAACAAAAACAAATCATTCCCACAAGAACCGTACATTTTTCCGGAATAAAAAGTAGTCTATGTGCCTTTCATCCAGATCCGTTCAGCAATTCTGGCGTGATTGAGTAACAAACATCCAAACATCTAAACTTTCACATTTATAATATTAGTATAGATTAAAGAATAAATATTCAAGTGGATATAAATAAAAAGTACACAAATTATACACAGAAAAAATATTTATATGAAATTCACTACAGACTACTGTTAAATTAAAACGTAAATAGGAAAAAGTATTTATACATTACATATTGTATATATAATAAAACATACTTTATAATATTAATACCACGTAAACAACTGACTTTTTACTCTCAATGAACCAATCAATATGAAATTTCCACGTTTCACAATAATACACTGCAATATAGATATCAAGCCATTAGCGAGTGATGATTGCGAGTTTTCCTCACGATTACAATGAGTTGTATCACTATCCTACTTGCGGACTGGGCTAACGGATCCAACGTAGCTGTGGCGTGAATACGAAATCAGTTTAGAACTTTACAATATAATCGATCGATGAGCAGTCAAACACCTGTTCAGTACGTGAGTTAAATTCGCAACCTAATATAAAGATAACGACGCGGCGTTAGAATCCTTGGTGTCACATTCTGCCATTTAACATGTAATAAGCACATTGACTTTAGTTACGTATTCTTTTAAATAAAATACCTACGAAGAAGTTGAGCGTGGGTGGATATCATTAACGGTACCATTATCATTGATTAATTATAGAAGCATTAAGCACTAATCGTTAGGTTTAAAACTAAAAAAAGTCGGATAAGTACCGACGGTTCCGTACATATTGTAATTAAAGTAAAACTAAAAAAGTAGACAACAAAAATAGGTTCAGAAAACATGCCATATCTGAAAAAATATTCTACGTTTTTTATTCATAATACCTAATTTTCGTTAAAAATATTTTGGAAGTACTATATTTAAGGTAGATAGATAATATTTATTATTACTATTAATTTTGCGAGTAAAATGTGTCCATGGCGAAATTATAAGGGTTTTGGCAACGGACTCCTAAAAAGTGACAGCTTAGAAAGTGCATAGTTTACATAAGATTATCTTTTACAATCCACTAAGGAAAACTTGCAAGTACCTACTAGACAAGTACCCATTAAGCGAAGGCTAATGAATGTTCTTTAACATGTATAGATTCAGCCTTTTTTAACGTCCCACTGCTAGGCACGGACCTCCCTTTAGTACGAGGGGAATCAGGCCATAGTCCATCACGTTGGCCAAGTGCGGGTGGCGGACTGAAAACTTGCTAGGTTTTCTCAGGCATGCAGGTTCACTCACGATATATTCTTCACCGTTAAGACAAGTGGTAATCATGTTAGAAATGATTCGCACATAAAAATATCAGAGGTGCAAGACCCGGAATTTGAAGTCGCTTCACTCGGTTTCCCAAGCGAGCGCGTTACCACTGGTCTACCACTGCCTCATTCTTTAACACAAGATTCTCTAAAAAATACTCCAGATTATTTTTATGTAACATACAAAAACTTATTATATTTGTATGCAACGAATTTGCATACATATACAATTAGTTAAATACGATAGCGTTAAATTGTCATTGCATGAAATGCTTAACAATATACCTATACATATAATAAAATTGTTACTAATTTGTACATTCAATATTTTTTGGAAAATCTTATTGAAATAAACATTATTATCGACACAGAGGCCGAATCTATAGTTTTTAGAATTTTTATCTGTGTATCTATCTGTCTGTCTGTTACCGCATCACAGTAAAACCACTGGAGGGATTTTGATGAAATTTGGTATGGTGCAATAAATACCTAATTTGGGAGCTGGTTATCCGGGTCAACATATAGGATACTTTTTACCGCGGGAAAATATCTCATTTCTGAGAAGAAATACAAAAGCTGCAATATAAGAGTATACTAACATGAAAAACCTAAGAATTTGGTTTTCGGTCATCTGAACGCGGGCGGAGCCGAGGACAATGCTAGTATTTTAATAAGTTCTTATACAGACAATGATGTCTATATAAGAACATACGAGTAAGTATATAGTAATGTATGAACATTATTTCGATTCAGAACAACTGAAGGAGTTACTAAACTTGATAACGAGGTGATTAAATTCACCAAATGTTATATACAAAGTAAAATATTAACTAAGGACAAAAATATAAATACACCTATCTATTAAACGATTTATATTAAATTCATGTATTCTTTAAATTTTCACGTTTATGAAATTCTTCGAGCACTTTAATTTCTAATAGTTTTATGCCTAAAGAGCTCAACCTGATGAACCAATGCGGTATGAGAGTAAAAAATTGTTATTTATGTTTGTCCTCATTATTGCATTAACATATTCACATATTGACACCCGGCCAATAATGACTTCCTTCACGGTTTCGGCGAATGTTCCAATGTTTGTGCTATTATTGATTTTGCAATCTTATTTGCCTTGCCAAACACAACTGTTGAACGAGGGAAATTTTTTTTTAATTTTGACATTTACATATAATATTATAAACAAACGATAATATTCATTCAACGTACTTCGTTTATGTAGTTAGTTATAAATTACAAAGCCTTGAAAGTTAACACTAGAAAATTGTATTATTAATGTCTATTACTACATACTATATTGGCTAAAATAGAATATAAACAAGTGTTCAAATCACAATTTATACTAAACTTAATTTTAATAATCAATGGTAACTATTCATTTCCGCAGATATTTCTGACACGTACCTGCGCTATTAATACTATAATAGATTCGTTGCGTCTAGCGTGTAGTGAGAATCACAAATCTAAAATTAGTTTGTTTGTATGTATGTCA